GTAGTATCATCTATCTTTTCCATATGTAATATCATCTACCTTCCACATATGTAGTATCATTTACCTTCCACCATATGTAATATCATTTTTCTTCCACATATGTAATATCATCTACCTTCCACATATGTAGTGTCATCTACCTTCCACATATGTAGTATCATCTACCTTCCACCATATGTAATATCATCTTTCTTCCACATATGTAATATCATCTACCTTCCACATATGTAGTGTCATCTACCTTCCACCATATATAGTATCATCTTTCTTCCACATATCCAGTATCATCTACCTTCAACATATCTAGTATCATCTTTCTTCCACATATGTAATATCATCTTTCTTCCATATATGTAATATCATCTACCTTCCACATATGTAGTATCATCTATCTTCCATGTATGTAGTATCATCTACTTTCTAGATGTTTAGTATCATCTAACCTCCACATATGTAGTATTATCTACCTTTCACAATACAGTATAATCTTCATTCTATACATATAATATCATCTATCTTCCATATATGTAGTATCATCTATTATCTAGATAAAAATGAGTAAAAACCTTATAATCCAAGTGCTTTTGAAAGGTGAGCATATCTTTATCGGGAGCAAAACAGGAATGGTGGTGTAATCAATTGAGTGATATATATATAAAGGGAGTTTAATGACATCATGAAGGTCATACAGTTTTCCAGGAAATGTTTAGTCTGTGATTACTCCCCTACCCATATTAACTTTCTTGACATCACTGTTTTTCTAAAAGACCGAATTTTACATAATGACTTGTACAAAAAACCTACAGACAGACCACAATACCATCACTATGAAAGCTGTCGCCCCTCTCACACTAAACGGAACATTAGCTAAAGTCAAGCTCTTAGAATAAAGAAAGTATGCTCAGATGAAACAGACTACAGAAAACACACTAAGGATCTAAAACAAAGCATGTTACAAAGAGGATATAAAGATATCGAAATTGACAGACAAATTGAAAAGGCTAACAACACTAAGCGGAAAAACATCCTAAATCATAACAATACTAAACTTTCAAATAGAATTCCTCTTATTATTACCTATCAGTTTAAACTCAGGAACGTTTCACGAATTCTGAAAAAAACATTTTCATCTCCTACAAATGAACGATCATCTTAAACAGATATTTCCTGAAGTTCTCATTGTCTCGTTCTGAAAAAGCAGAACTCTAAAAGATATCCTTGTTCATACAAAAGTGAATTACATCCCACCCAAAAATGTTTGTCATAAATAAAGCCTATTGTCATACCTGCAAGTTTATAGAACCCTTTGACTAATTTTCTGACAAGCACATTCAAAGAAATTTAAAATATCCAAAGAAATCACTTGTGAAACAAAAAACACCATTTACCTTGTACAGTGTAAAAAATGCAATTACAAATATATACACAAACAACTTTTTGAGAACGTTTCAACAACCATAAATTTTCTATTAACACCGAAAAAGTTCTTGTTAATCAACACTTTAACCAACCTGCCATTCCTTTAACGATATTACTGTCATCACCATTGAAACAGGATTGAAAATTAAAGCAGATATAGAAATAAAAGAAGCTTATTGGATTGCTAATCTAAATGTTCAACCTTTTGGAATTAATCTAGATCCTGGAATCAGTGATCTCTGTTCATTGGTTTCATCTCTGTCAGAAAAATAATTTTTATTCTTTGCTTACTTTTTTCATGTAATGTGAATGCTGAATTTCCTAAAACTTGTTATTTATTTAAGATAATTTTCCATACTTGTTTTTATATGATTAGCATAACATATCTTTTTCAATCAGTCTCCAGGTGTCACCATTATTTTATTTAAACACTTAAGTACAGTTTTAAATATACATATATTTATCCATTTCTAAAGAAAAATATTCCTGAGACCGTTTCACATAAACTCTTGCCATTGGCTACAATGTACCGGAAATGAGATGCTTACAACAGTACATCGAAAAATAGACCAAATATTTCCTGGAAAACCGGATGACCTTCATGATGTCACTAAATACCCTTTTGTATATATATATATGTTATTTTATTACACTATCATTCCCAGTTTGTCCCTGAAGAAGTAAGGTCCACCTTTCGAAAGCATTCGGGTGATAGGGTTTTTACTCATTTTTATCAAGACTTCTAACATCATGAATCTATTATCTAGATATGTAGTATATCTATCTACCACATACCTAGCATATTTATCTACCAGATATGTTGCATCATCTATCTTCCAGATATATAGTATCATCTACCTTCCACTGATGTAGTATCATTTATCTTCTGTATATGTAGTATCATCTGACTTCCACATATGTAGAATCATCTATCTTCCACATATGTAGTGTCATCTGTCTTCCACAAACATAGTTTCATCTCACTTCTATGTATGTAGTATAACCTACTTTCTAGATGTCTAGTATCATCTATCTTCAAAGAATGTAGTCTCATCTACCTTCTAGATATCTAGTATCATCTGTCTTCCACATATGTCATATATATATATTCCACATATGTTGTGTCATCCACCTTCTAGATATGTAGTATTCTGCATACATAGTATCATATACCTTTTAGGTATGTAGTATCATCTTCCTTCCACATCTGTAGTGTCATCTATCTTCCATATATTTAGTATCATCTACTTTTTAGATATGTAATATCATCTACTTCCAGATATACAGTGTCGTCTATCTTACAGATATGTACTATCATCAATTCTCCAGATATACAGTATCATCTATCTTCTATATATGTAGTATCATCTACCTTCCAGATATGTAGTATCATGTACCTTCCAGATGTGTAGTATCATCTACCTTCCACATATATATTATAATCTTACTTCTAGATTTCCAATATCATTTGTGTTCAACATTTATTGTATCATCCTTCTTCCATCTATGTACTATGATATATATTCCACATATGTAGTATCACCCTTCTTCCATCTGTGTACTATGATATATATTCCACATATGTAGTATCATCCTACTTCCATCTATGTACTATGATATATATTCCACATATGTAGTAGCATCCTTCTTCCATCTGTGTACCATGATATATATTCCACATATGTAGTATCATCCTACTTCAATCTATGTACTATGATATATATTCCACATATGTAGTATCATCCTTCTTCCATCTATGTACTATGATATATATTCCACATATGTAGTATCATCCTTCTACCATCTATGTACTATGATATATATTCCACATATGTAGTATCATCCTTCTTCCATCTATGTACTATGATATATATTCCACATATGTAGTATCATCCTTCTTCCATCTATGTACTATGATATATATTCCACATACCGTATAATTTTCCTTCTAGATATGTAATATCATCTACCTTCTAGGTATGTAGTATCATCTTTATTCCACATCTGTCATATCATTTGTTTTCCACACATGTACTATTATCTACTTTCCCCATATGAAGTATCAACTTCCTTCCACATATACAGTATTATACATCTTCAAATTATGTATTATTATCTATCTTTCAGATATTTAGTATCATCTACCTTCCACATATGTAATATTATCTACCTTCTACATATCTAGTATCACCTACCTTCCACATATGTAGTATCATCTACCTTCTACATATGTAATATCATCTACCTTCCACATATCTAGTGCCATTTTTTGTGGATGTGTTATTTTGTGCACCTTCTAGATATAATATTATCTACCATATTGATTTATAATATATAGTTTGTAGATATGTAGTATCATCTGTTTTTGTAGACGTGCTGTTTTGTTGTCTCTTTAGATATTCAGGGTAATTTTATTGCAAAGTTGGAATTACCTTTAAGATAATGATAAATATACATTTTAGACACTTACTATTGGTTAGAATATTCATTACATATACTCTATATTTCATTATTACGAATTTAATTTTGTGTATATTAACTTATCATAATATAATACTAATGAAAATATAATTAAGTAGGAAATATATTAATTGTTTTAAATTGTGAACTACTTTTAGATAAAAGGTTCCTTTTCATCACGGCGGGGACAGGACATATTTAACCCTTATAGTCGAGGATCCTTTATGTGCAATTGTGTGGCAATGATATGTGGACCTGAACCTCCAAGGTACAGTGTTGTATGTGTATATATATATATATATATATAGTAGGTGCATGGTGTGTGTACCACATTATTCATAATATACTAACGTTTCTATGTTTTCATATCCATAGTTTGTAAGTTTCATCCTCTAGGATTGGCTGATGTTTACCTACTGTAGATAGTTGTATTCTTAATGTAAGGTCATGAACCTTATTGGTGGAGTATTTGTTATGTGGACATATGTTTGTTTTGAGGAACTGAGTCTCTAAGGTCCATTATTTGTTATATGGACATGTGTATGTGTGTAGATGACCTGAGCCTTAAGAGTGCAGTATTATTTACATGCATTTTTATGTGTTTAGATTATTCTAACCTCCAAGGTACATTGTTGTTTATGTTGACCTGTGTTTAGATGACCTAAACCTCCAAGGTACATTATTGTTTATATAGATTTTGTGTGTTCAGAGAACCTAAACTTACAGGGCACATTATTGTTTATATGGACCTGTGTTTAGGCTACTGCAACCTCCAAGGTACATTATTATTTATATAGATTTTGTGTGTTCAAAGGACCTAAACTTACAGGGCACATTATTGTTTATATGGACCTAAACCTTCCCCCTTGAGGTGGATTTCTGTACGTGGTAAGGGGACCTTCCAGGGAAGGTTCTGTATTTTCAGTTTACCTCCTCTGGGATCTGAACATCCACCAGCGTGTTTGCCATGCATGGCGACCCGTAATAAGGAGAGGATCCTGGTGGTTGAGTGGTGTCTGGGGCACTGCAACACACCACTTTGCCTTGAATTCCTGTATATAGCTGGCCTTGGGGTGGCCCCACAGGCTCAGTCGGCTGGTCCTGTTCGACTTGCGTCAACTGAGTACCAGTGTTGTGGACATTGTGTCTGATGCTGGTGTTTGGGTATAGTGCTCACAAAGCCTTGGCATTGCTGCATTGTCCATGTTTGGCATTGTAGCATGAGTGGTGTCAATGAGTGCTGAACCATTCTCGTTTTATTATGGATCCCACAAATCCTCAAAAAAATAAAATGGTAAAAACTCAACTTATTGGTAAATGACCATGTGTGAAAGACTCTCATCATCAATCTGCAACTCATCTTGCTCCTGTACCTCATTTTTTGATTTTGCATTTCTTGTCAGAACAACATTTAGGACAAATGTCTCCCATTTTTATTCAGAAGGGATTAAAAGTGCTTACTGGCTCTCCAAAATCAGTCAAGAAGCTACGTTCTGGAGACATCTTGGTGGAAACATCTACACCAAACACAGAATTCTTGAATTCAAAGGCCATTGGGGATATACCCATTGAGGTTACTCCCCATGCTACTTTGAATTCCTCACAAGGAGTTATTGTTGAGAGGGATTTGAAGAACATCCCTGAGTTGGAGATCTTTGTTGGTTTCTCCGGCAAAGGAGTTTCTGCAGTGTGACGTATCTCCACTTGTAAAGAAGGAATTATGCTGCCTATCAATGTTGTTATTTTGAGGTTTACATTACCACGTCCACCTGCCTCTGCCACACTCTCAGTTGCTGGAATCTAAGTTTAATGACAGAGATCTGCCCCCTCGACCAAGGGCAGGATCTATGGAGGTCGACAGACCTCCATGTAGTAAAGAAAAACAGCATGGTCGTAAACAGTAGGGTTCTCCACCCATTTCTCCCCCACCTAAGTATAAATGGCCACTTTGATACAGTGGAACTGTCAAGGTTTTCATTCTAATCTGGATTACGTTAAGGCCTTGATTGATTCCCATCATCCAGTGTGTCTTTCCTTTCAGGAAACATTTCTAAAACCTGCTGATACAGTCACCTTTTGGCAGTTTTCTTTATACCAGAATGACAGGTTGTGTGATGGACGAGTGCATGAAGGGGTGGCACTGTTGTCGATCAGCACGTGCCCACCTTATCTGTATCACTCGATACATCCTTGGAGGCTGTAGCCATCCGTGTTTCCATGGGTCATACCATCACCCTTTGTTCTCTCTACCTGTCTCCTGGAGAAACTTATGATCAATCAGATCTTGATGTTATCATTGAACAGTTACCGTTTCCCTTTTTAATCTTTGGAGACTTTAATGGACACAGTCTCCTCTGGGGTGGTGCTGATATTGATGGGAGGGGTCGTTCCGTAGAGCATATGCTCTCGGATCACAACCTTTCTCTCTTCAATACTGGATTTTATACTTATTTTCATACAAATATTCTTTTACTGTCATTGATCTATCTATCTGCTCCCCTTCACATTTCCCTCTCTTTTCTTGGAGGGTTGACAGTGATCATTTTCCTATCGTTTTGAGGGAGATTGGACGTGGTAGATGACACCGCATCTGAGTGACATGGTGGAAGTTGGACCAGGCCAACTGGCTCTCTTTCACCTCTCTCTCGGAACTTGATCCTGTTGTCGTTTGGCTTCCATCTATTAACAACTGCATTGAGGCAGTAATTGATTGCTTCATTCAAGCAGCTGTTCATTCTATACCTAAAACCTCAACATGTTTCTCATGGTATCCTCATCCATGGTGGTCTCCAACCTGCCAGTAGGCATGGAAGGCTCAGAAACATACCTGGGATACTTTTTGCAAGTATCCCAAGATCTCGACAATTCTCCAGTCCAGAATTTCTACACTGAGTCCCTCGAACCACCTCTTCATCTCCGCCATTTGTAACTTTCTCTACAGTATGCTACAAAGCTTTGATCCTTACTACAGCATCCCACCTAGGGTTGTATCTTTCTTCATTTGTGGGCCATGCTCTTTCAGAATAGACGGTCTGCAATTCCTTCGTTTGGCCTTCGTATCCATGTGCAACTGGATGAATTGGGTCTGGCATTGAAGGACGTTTCTGTCAGCTCATTCCACCATTGCTTATTATCATCCTCAAATGTGACCTTTCCTTGAGTTATCTGAGGAAGGTGGATATTCCCAATTGGAAATACCGTCTTCTCTTTACTTCATATCTTTTGAAACATTCTTCTATTCCCATTTACACAGATGGTTCGAACTCAGGTGACTCTTTAGGCTCTGCCATGGTTTGGTGTGGCTCAGTAGTTGCTTGCAGGATCCCTTCTACAGCTTCTGTGTTCACTGCCGAGTTATATGGCATTTCTCTTGCCCTGGATCATGTAGAAGCTATGTAGTACAACAATTGTACTCTTTACACTGACTCTCTTAGCTCTCTACTGGCCTTGTAATCGCATAACATTAGGTCTCATCCTGTTATCGTCGATATTCAACAAGTGCTGGACCAATTTTCTCTATCTTCCATTAGTATCCAGTTTTTCTGGATACCTGGCCATGTCGGTATTTGTGGGAATAAGTTTGCTGAGTTTCCGTCTGTTCTGGTGCCATCACAGCCATGCATATCCTGTATATGGACTACTGTCTTGTATTAAAGGCTCGGTTTCACATCAGTTGGCAGTCGACTTGGAGTGAGCAACGTCATAACAAGCTTTTCGAGATCAAACCCTCTGTTGTTCTTTGCCCATCTTGTTTCTGTAAGGATCGGAAGGAGGAAGTTGTCTGGGCTAAGCTACACATTGGTCACAGTTTTTTAACTCATTGTTTTCTGTATCTTGAACTGATCCACCAATGTATGGCCTTTGTGACACTCAAGTTACAATAGTCCACATATTTTTGTTGTGCCGTCGTTATGACTCTGAGCGACGGCACCATTTTAGACACATGTTTTCTAATGGTTTAGCTCTGACATTGGATAGTGTCATTAGCGATGGTGACACTGTCCTACTTGATTGTATTTTTAAATTTTTATAAGCCATTGGACTTATTAATTCTATATAAATTTTTAATCTGAGTTTTGAACATTGTTTAGTTTTAACTTGATTTATTTTTACATTTTATAAAAATTTTACTTTTACAGTTTTTACCAGTTGTTTGGCGCAGATAGCCTAGTTCCTTTGTGCCAAAAAACCTAAAACTCCAAGTTACATTATTGTTTATATGGGCCTGTGTTTAGAGGTCCTAAAACTCCAAGTTACATTATTGTTTACATGGGCCTGTGTTTAGAGGTCCTAAACCTCCAAGGTACATTATTGTTTATATGGACATGTGTTTAGAGGTCCTAAAACTCCAGGTTACATTATTGTTTATATGGACCTGTGTTTAGAGGTCCTAAAACTCCAAGTTACATTATTGTTTATATGGGCTTGTGTTTAGAGGTCGTAAACCTCCAAGTTACATTATTGTTTATATGGACCTGTGTTTAGATGACCTATACCTCCAAGGTACATTATTGTTTATATGGGCCTGTGTTTAGAGGTCCTAAACCTCCAAGTTACATTATTGTTTATATGGGCCTGTGTTTAGAGGACCTTAACCTCCAAGGTACCTTATTGTTTATGCAGACCTGTGTTTAGATCACCTAAACCTTCAAGGTACATTATTGTTTATTTGGACTTGTGTGTTTAGAGTACCTGAACCTTCAAGTTGCTTTATTGGTTATATGAACTTGTTAGGGAGTGGTTCAGGTAAGAGTAGATGGTGTAGTCATGAGAATAGAAGACCGGGTAAGTACTTTATTTCTTGTTTTTCATGTTTATTCTTTATTTATTATTATAAAAGTAACTAAAATGTAAAAATAGGGATCTCTTTAGGTTAGTTTAGGTTAGATTGGGTAAAATAAATAATATTAATTAATAAAAAAATTTTCGTGAGGCATGCACACGAGCAGTTCCTAGTAGCTTGTGGATAATGTAATTCGATAGTGTAACGTGAGCTCAACACCAAGTGATTTACAAATTATAATGGCATGAATAGTAGTAGCTAGACGTGGTTTAAAGGGCAATAAAACAAAAAAAAATGTAAATATAAATAGCTGTGTACTGTTACCAGTTTGAAGCTACATAGGATAAACGAATGTAGTTTCATGTTACAGTTTAAAGTCATTCTAGAAAGAAAAAGTTAGGGAAGAGAAAATAACAAAATATATAGGTTTACTGAAACAAGCATTTGAAATGTATTTAGGAGATTTTAGAGATTGTGCAAAGCATTTTTAATCTTAACATGAAAATCACGCAGTCTAATGAAAGAAAATACTCTATATATTCACCAACAAATCTTTTTTTAGTTTATTGAAAATACTTCCCTAAAAATAAGAATTTTTTGTATGTGAAAGACTTGTAATGTTTTCTGAAAGTTTGTCAAATTTTGTGAAGATATACATATATAAAGTTAGTAGTATCAAAACTTTAAAGACTTTAAATTAGTACCAAGAGGTCACATGATCGGTCAATTTGACCAAGCCCATCTTGAGAGAGTTAAGGGGAAAGTTGTCAGGCTTGACTCTGACTATTCTGTGGTGGTGTCTTGTGTTTGTTATCGAGGAGGCACTTGTTTAAGGACTCTTTGTTTTCAAATTTTGGACCTCCATTCTTGGAACAATTCCTAGCTTATCACCCTATAGCTTGCCATGTTCCACAGGTGATGCCTGCAATAGCAGGTCAATTGTCTCAATCCAAACAGATTCTCCCGACAGAATAAATGCTGCATTGCAAGGTTCTGTTGGATTGGCTCTCAATTTGTACAAACCCATTTTCTGGTGCTATTAATAGCACCAAATTAGCTGCTACACTCTGGTTTCTGCTTCTTTGATACCTTCCTGAGTGTCCACTTCTTCTTAGACTATCTCTGTGGAGGAAACCATGATCTGACATGGTAAATCAGGCTATCCAGAAGCTCAAGCTTCAGGCATAGAAGTTATACAGTCTTTCACATGGCATTGGGGTTTAATTTCTAAGGCTGCCATGTATCTATCTCAGTTTTTGCCTTGTCTGAGCATTTATCAACGGAAATGACACTCATATCAGCAATGGTATATTGAGAGGAGGTTGAACACATTTCAAACAGAATTGCCCATCATAAGTCGTTTTTTTTCTACCTGGCTCTTTGGCAGAGGTTTTTGTATCTTCCACGATTGCCCTGTTTAAGGCAGCCTTATCGACTACAGTTCAATTCTCGTGACTACATATTCTTTGAGTCCCCAGTACTCTCCGAATTCCTCAAGTTGCTTTGGGTCCTTGGTCCCAAATAACCATTCCAGTTACCTAATAGGTATATTAAGGTTACATTACATGCTCTTTCTCAACACCTGTTTGTGACCTGACTCTTATATGCCATGTATCTGCTTTACCTGAAGGGCTGCTGACCTACAGACATCAGAGTGATTTGCGCTGTTTGTCCTCCGACCAGTTCTTATTACTTAAGATACTGTCAGACAGGGAAGGGGATAAATCCTTTTCACCAATTCATATGATCATTACTTCTCACTTCTGTGTCCAGTCAGATTTAAATTGAGATCATGTTCAGTGAGAGTTTTAAAGGTTATGTTGACTGCAATAATATATTTAGAAATGTCAGACAACGACTTTTTATTCTGGGCTGTCTTAGAAGGTGAGGAATCTTCTGTGAGTCATGTCTAATCAGATTTGTCATGTTTCTATGTCCTTACTGGCCCGGTTAAACTGTCCGCTGAAGGTCATTGTGTAGACTGATATGTGAACCTTCCCCAGTTCTTTTATCTTATATTACTTTCATGATCTGGCAGTATCTTCATCCCTTACCTCGTTTCCACAGAATCCCACTCTGTGGTGATTGTTGCCCAGGTGTAATTTTATCAAACCAATTTTGCACTAGCAACCACTAATTCAATATACTTTATACAGGCTTTGTAGAAATGAGGTGTTCCATAGGACTATCTAGAGACTTACTAGGTGGTATTACTGTACTATGCTGGACCACCACTCGTGGACTATCATGAGTAAAGGTATATTGCCAATTATTGGATTGAATAAATCAGGGACAGTTCGCTTTTAAAAATTTAGGGAACTTGGTTCACCTATTGCACTGTTTCCAGAGCACTGTTCCTCAGGACTCTCCAATGTGCATTACCCCCCAGATTCTACTAGTGGAGCTGGGGTGTCTTTACCACACCCAGTTTCCAGTCACTGGGGTGATGGACAGAGGCTATTTCTCCAGGATGTTAGAGTGAATCCCTCCACTCTTGAAGAAGAGGGCAAAGTTGAGGGTCCTCCTACCTGGGTCCCTGGATGTTTTTACCCAGATGTTGGTAGGAGTGGCACCAGCCTATGTGGGAGCCTACTTATAATACTGGTTCAGATTTGATGCTCGGCTATCTGGTTGAGTGGAGCATGGCCCTACTTTTTGATCACTATTAATTCATTACATTGTTCATGGAAGAGGGTCCACTGTCTCCTTGTAATTCCAAATGCAGAGTGGTCCCATCATGGGTCCTTAGTTGAGCACTGTTGTTCCACATCCTTCCAATAATTCCGGGGGCAAGTGGAATTTACCTTGCCCACATGGTTGGGAAGTGAGGATGAGTGTTCATAATTCCAGACTGGAAGAGTTCCGTTTCCTGAGGTGTTGCCTGTCGGACATCTTCAGGTTGAGGAGAAGGCTTGTCCACTTCCATGTTGCTTACCTTTTTGTTATGATTCTGGTGAATCAGAATGTAACACTCTTTGTCTATAGGATAAGTTTATGTATATATATTTTATATAGTTTGTGGTCCAATTGCCCTAGCCACCTACTTGGGATATAGGGACCATGGCCCTTTAATTCCAACCATGAGTAGTGGAATCTCGGCTATCTGGTTGGGACCTGGCCTATAGTGACGATAAATTAAGTAAAATTCCACCCATAATACAGGGATTAAATTCCGGGTGAAGAACATACCTGTTCTGGATGTAGTACGGTTCCCCCACTAGGGTGCCAATCTTCTATTGACACTCCTTACACACAGTTGCTTACACACAGTATCGGCATAGAGGGCGCCTTGATGTAGGCAGATAGGGTCATGTGATATTGCCAAGGGCAGTTGAATAGGGTATAAAAGACTGGAGCAAGCAAGAAAAAATCAGACCATTAGATGGGCAAAGGAAGAAACCTGGCAGTAAAGTAATAGCTATCAGTTTGGGAGGAGGTAAGTATTATTGGAAATACATTTTCAATTTAAGAAAATGTTAACTTCTTGATACTTTAGAGGGTTTCATTACTTAGTATTTGAAAATGTGAAATAACTAATAATAAAAATTTTTCTTGTTTCAAGAGTTTTCAGTATAGTAAAGATACATTTCATCTGGCTGTCTTTTGTTTTTCTTCTTAGCCTCTTAGACAGAAGGGGTATTGCTGTGCCTGATGGACAAGTTTCACTTCGGGGAAATTATGGTTCTCTGAAGAGTTCTCAGCAAAAGGTGACTAAATATAAAGGACAATTTAGAAAATTGATTGTCTAAAATTTATCAAAGTTTGAAATGTATAATTACATATTTACTCTGGACAGTTTCTACTTATTCATCATCACGTTTTTTTCATGCACAAGAGAGCTAAGTAAAAGGTGAAACATAAAGGATTTTGTCTCTAACTTGTTCACTGAAGTGGAATGTCTAGTTATTAAATGTAAGTTTGTAAGCAATATACTTACCTCTCTACACACACTAGCTATTACTTGTACACCTGCCTTTGATATTTTGCACATGCCACTAGCCTTGAGCTATCTTTCACCTAAGACACATTATAATGTGAACTGTGCTAATGCATGTTGTAATCATCATGTGATAATAGCCCTCCACTAGTAGGAAAAAGACACATCCTCCATTAGATCCCCATAAGCACTTGCACTCAAAATTATTCATTTTATCCTCAACATGTATATATTTCTTTGAGTTTGAACTTAATCAATATTGCAAGATTTGTGCTGCCTTTTCACAGTATTAATTCTCTTTGGTTTTCTTTTAGTTTGTTTTAACTTCGATTTCAAGCTACATTGTTGCCAACTAACTTAGGAAAAGAAATTTGATCTGGCAAGTTGATACAGTAACAATGAATTTTCAAGTAAAATTAACTGCTATCCTCTTCCTTCATTCTAGTGATGTTAATGAAACTGTCCCTACTTTGCTGTTCATGGATTTCTAATCCATGGAGTACCTTCTATCCACACACTGGTGCTCAATTTTCCCATCTTTGCCTTTTCCCTACCCATCTACTTTGTTATGTCCTCTCTTCATCTGCTATCTGAAGCCCTACACCATGATCCCAAAAATTTTCTGGGGATCTGTGGTCATTCTTCTTCAATACCTTATTAGGTTTTGTCTTCTGCCTTGTTCCTGCTTACATGGTTTTTCTGGAATGTGACACTCTTCTCTCTATAATTTGTCTTTCCCATGACCTCCTTCTGGCTTCTTTTCTTTATCCTGCAGTCTTAAGGAATGTTCCTAATTCCTTGGAGACTTGGGCCAAGGCTGCCCGAAACCAGTCCTCCCTTTCCCTCTTGGTTTCTAGTCTTTCACAACCTTGCGAGTCCACTTCCATTCCTCGACCCTGTGAACTCTCAACCTCCCTCTCTTTTCCCATTTCTCATCCTTTACTGCTTCTTGTTGCTCCCTTCCATCAAGTTAGCCATTGCACATCCTGTTGGTGACTTCCTCTCTTTGTACTCAGTTTGCTCAGGCCTTGTAGTGACACACCTGTTTCTGTTTGCAGGCCTATGAACCCCTTTTGTAGCTCATCAATGGATCATTCAGGTTCTTATATATTGACTTTCTCTTCTCTTTTCTATTCTATTCTCCTTATCCTCAGCATCATCTGCATCTTGAGGCTATGGTATCAGGTCTTTTGGATGAGAAAGCCATCGAGAAGGTCATTTGCCCCTTGTCTTTTTGTTGTTGCCAAAAAGACCAGGGACTGGCATCCCATCATCGACTTTTTCTCCCTTAACCACTATCTGATGTTCCTCAATTCAAGGGTTTCTTCCTCTCTATTGGTCTTTTCTTTGTGGACAATGGGTGACCAAGGTTGACATTTTGGACAGCTTTCTCCATATGATTGCCATATCTTCATGTTGATTTATTTGCTGAGATGAGGTATACCAGGTTTGAGCTCTAACCTTTGGCTTCTTATGTTTTTCACAGTCTTGAACATTGTTTCCATTATTACTTCGATAACTGACTCCTTCTTGCCTCTTTTCATCCACATCATTTGTCCATCAGTAGGCGGTTTTATCCCAGTTTTATCCCATTCATCTGTGGAACATCTAGTCACCTTGACTCTTGCCTCTCCTATACTTCCTGCACAAGAGTTTCTATCTCTTTTTGGGATCTTCTAATATCTAGAACATCTTGTCCCTGTCAGCCAGGCTTCTATGAGACTTTTTTCAATAGAATTTGAGTGACCAATGGAAAATCTCTCGCATCTCTCTGTCCTCTCTTGTGATGCTGCCACCTTCTCTTATTAAAGACTTGTCTTTTTGGCTAGATCAATCCAAAGCTATGGTCAGCATCCCACTGCTGCTTCTCTGTCTGAATTTTTTTTTATTTATCTATGCATCTCTTATGTGTTATGGTGCATTTGTGGATAATTCTACAGCCTTAGGAGTGTGATTTCCTGTGGAGCATACTTTCCACATCAATGTTGTGGAACTTTTGACCACCCATCAGGTATATTCCTATTTACTACCTCATCTTGTGGATCACATGACTGATCCATTATAACAATTCTACAGTTCTTTCCCATATAAACCATCAAGGTGAGACTTGCTCCAGAGATTTTTGCTTTTGCATGTTGGACTTTCTGTTTCAGGCCCACTCATTGGGTTCATTTGACAGCTTGTCATGTCATGTACAAAGTATCTCATTGAATTTGTTCCCAGTTAGACATGCCAAGACTGATGCCTTTATCACTCCTTCCAATACCAAAGTCCCCCCAGGTTGTTAGGGGCACTCGACTCACAATCTGAGGGTCGCGGGTTCAAATCCCTGTCCCACCAAACATGCTCGCTCTTTCATCCTTGGGGCATTATAATGTGATGGTCAATCCCACTATTCATTGGTAAAAGAGTAGTCCAAGAATTGGCAGTGGGTGGTGTTGACTAATCCCCTTCCCTCTAGTCTTTCACTGCTTCACTAGGGAGTGCTAGTGCAGATAGTCATCGTGTAGCTTTGTGCAAAATTTAAAAAGAAACAAAGAAACCATAGTCCCTCTCTTTTGAGTCCCTGTACATCACCCAGCAGCTCTGGCTATGGATGTCCATAGCCAGGGGCCAGCATGGCCAGATTGTAAGGGAGCTTGACTCGCAATCTGAGGGTTGCGGGTTCGATTCCCCGTCCCACCAAACATGCTCGCCCTTTCAGCCATGGGGGGTGTTATAGTGTGATGGTGAATCCCACTATTCATTGGTAAAAGAGTAGTCCAAGACTTGGCAGTGGGTGGTGATAACCTACTGCCTTCCCTCTAGTTTTACACTTTTAAGTTAGGGACGGCTAGCACATATAGCCCTCGTTTAGCTTTGTACGAAATTCAAAACAAACCTTAGCCAGGACTGATCTCATTTCTTCTGTATGTGTACTCTCCTTTGGTAGCACCTTTTTGGTTTCCTCTTCTTCACTGACTGGTATCGAGAACATGTTTTCTTCTACCTCCATTTTAGTCACTCTTACTCCAATCTCGTATATTTCTTTCACCCAGGAGTGTCAGCTTTTAACCTTCATGCATGGAATTTGTCTGGTTCCTTGCTTGCTGCTGGTTTATTGGTCACTTTCTACCAGTGAACCGTCCTACTGTTGCCCACCTTTTGGCATTCTTTACCTAATTGTACAACTGAGGATTATTGGTTTTTCTATTGCAAGCTATGGGGTGACCTTGTTGACACTTTTAGCCTTTTTCACTATGGTTCTGCCTTTTCCTTCCCTATTCTTTCCACTTTGTTCCAGTCCTTCCTAATTCCTCATCCCCATCATCCAGTTCCTTTGCCTGACTGGAACTTGAATGTCGTTCTACACTTACCCAGACCCCATTTGTAACTTTGGGCTCTTGCTCCTTATACCTTCTTTCTTTTAAAACCTATTTCCTTCTCCTTCTTGCTAATGGTCATTACAAGTCTGATATTTATGCATTGGATGACACCTTTACTTTATTGACCTATGATTTCATTCCCTAATTGCTTTGTTTTCCTAAGACTTGGGCAACTAAGGAGGGAGATTGTACCTTTTCTGCCATATTTTTCTGTTGATCTCCATCCTCTATGATCAAACTCCTGATCACCTTTTGTGTCTAGTTTGTGCAGACAGGTGTTACTTGGCATGCATAACACAATATTGAGGTTCCTGCAATCATTCATTTGTGTCATTGGACCCCTGTTCTTTCAGGGTTTATTGTACTCTGTGCTTACAGATCATCAGTTCCACCCTGAATGTAGATGCTTACAAGCTGTATCATGTTTCATCACATCAAATCTGCCACTTGATACAATCTCTAGTCTCACATTTTTGATGACTCTTAGTTGAGCCCTTCCAGGCTGTTCTATGGTCTATGTCCAACATCTTCATCTCCCATTCTCCTCACTATCTGGCAGTTTCATCTCCCTCGGAGTATCACCTTCCTCCAGTGCACTCATCACCTTCAAAGGGTAGTACATCTTTTATTTCCAGAGTTGCCTCACGGTGTATACTTGTTTCTCTAAACCTGCATTGAGTCTGGGGTAATAGAAAGCATTAAACCCATCTACACTGGCTCCTAAAGTGCTTTCTATTGAGATGGGATTTTCCACAATACCAGTATGATGGTGTGTGTGTGTGTATTTATATATATATATATATCACTGTCCATTTAATCCCATACCTTGCATGAACTATCATACAAAAATCCAGTTCCAGAAGAGTGTCTGCTCACTTTCCTGGCTTTTGCATGCCAGCTTTTCAAATTAGTTTCTACAATAACCCGTAGCAGTTTGTCCATTAAAAACAACCTTTGCAGTTGTTAGGTTTGAATAGGTCTAGGCATCTTTGTGAATCCCCCCCCCCCCAATCATCAAGTGGAGCACAGGAGGCCCTGGCCACTGCCAATTTCTATCTGCTGGAGCAGTCAACTTGGGGAGTTCCTCACTGGTTGTGCAATCCTTATGGATGAAGTCCAAGTGGGCATCACAGTGCAGTGGGAAGTAGGGTAGGTCACCCATTATTACATACTATGCCAATTTCCCAATGATTTGGTCAGCAAGATAGAGCAAAGTGTTCTCCTCACATGACAGGAAAGGACTTAACCTCTGTTTCTATGTGTAAAGTGAGTAAGTTGTAAAACAGAGCACATACCAAACTGTACAGTCTGATCATTGTCATAGTCACACTACATCCCATATCCAACCAACCTGTTGTGTACAAGTGCTCAGTTAGTCATGTTTTTCTCCACCCATATCTACGACACATTGGCTCATTTTGCTTTCGTCCTTTCATACTTCCATTCA